TAGATAGATAGATAGATAGATAGATAGATAGATAGATATTTTCAAAAATATTATATATATATATATCAATTTTCATTCCGCCCTCACGGAACAATCACTGCAGATGGTGTACTTTGGTGAATACTCAACTCACGAACAGAGTGAATGCACAGTTAGATCTTCAACACTCATAGTTTATAAAACAGAAAGTAATGAGTTGGAAGACTGGAAAATGATTTTTATAAATAAATATTGTTTGGAGACAGGTGCAACTGAAAGGATCTCATGTTGTGCCTACAGCAGTGAATTTAATTAATTTATTTTAATATATCTAATTTATGTATATTTTTTTAAAATTAAAATCTCATCAGCTACGGTAACTAATTTAGAAGATTATGTCTATTAACTTTGCTAGTAAACTGCATTGTTTTTGCTTTCTCAAAAGAATTTGTTCTTTGTGGAATTAACTTCACTGAAACGATTTGCTTTTAAAAGCAAGATGTCAAAGTGTATTTGACAAACCTTTAGGTAATCACCAATGGGTAACTTTCTTTTACCTATTATTGAAAATATGAAAATGATTTAAAAAAAAAATCATCATGCAAAATGATTTTTTTTTGAGCGACAGCAACTGAAAGAGCACGCCTTTTCTTTCAAAAAAGACCCAACTAGCTACCATGGCAGTTTGGGAAGCTGCTTTCTTCACTACTCTCAACTGCCTGCCAATGATTATTGGCTGTTGCGCTAATTTCTTGGTGATTGTGTCTTCTCTGCTGTTTATATCTGTTCGAGACATCGAAGGAACCAACTTGTTCCTGGTCAGTTTATCGGTGGCTGATTTTCTGGTTTGTGCCGTTTACCAGCCGTTGTTGATTATTCGCTTCAATCAGCCGGACCAAGCTCGGTCTTTCGTGTTGACCACTTGTTTAATTGGTTATAGTTTAGTGACGGTCTCGATGAATGGACTTTTAGCTGTGACTTTCGATCGCTTTGTGGCCATATATCTGCCGTTCAAGTACATCACCTGGATGAACAAGAAAAACGTTGCACTATTGATCTCAATTTCATGGCTGGTAGCATTTGTAGCAGGGAATTTAGCCTTGAGTGAAATATTTGGCGTCAAAGTTATTTCTCAGCTCTACACCACCATAATAATCATGGCGGTTCCTACCCTTTATGGCGTCATTTATAAGGAAGCAAGAAAGCAGGCTGAACACATCGTTAATCATTCCATGCTAGGTGCGAAAGATTTTCGAAAGCGGCGCCATCTGCAAGCAGACAGAACCACCAGAGGGGTTGGGTTGGTGTTGATAACAACAATGTCATGTTGGCTTCCAGTATTGTTGTTTCCATTCTTTTCTGCAACCTTGAAAAGCGATGAAGATTTTCTCAGAGGAAAATTGTGGTGTATTACTGCCGCGTGCGTCAACTCATGCATCAACCTTTTCATCTACTTTTACAAGTTCGCAAAATTTCGGCGCAATGTTAGAAAGTTGTTTAGGGAGATTCAGAGAAAACTTGGTGACAGTTTTCTGCGAAACACCAACAAGCGTGGCAATAGGATCAGTCGGAAAGTCCAAGATCGAAATCAAATAGGAACATCTCGGCGAATGGCTTGGCTGGTGAATGAAAGCTAAACTACTGACTCTAGCTGAGCACGTTAGTCAGCCACACTTTTGTTCGTTTACATGCGAGAGTTTGGTTATTCTATTTTATTCGGAGCATGTCGAAACCAAGGAAATCACGAAACTACTAAAGATGATTGAACATACT